GACTGGGGCGCGCGCTGGGTCATACAGCAAAACTCCAAGCGCCGCATCCGCAAGGTCCTCGGCCTCTCGACGACGAGCGACGAGCACTTTAGCCAAGACATCGAGCTCTACAGCCTCGGCACCAAGCGGACGATGGAGCAATTCATCGCGTTCTCGAGCATCGACCCGTCCGCCGCCTACAAGAATGGCGACGACCTCCAGTTTGACAACTGCCATGAGCTTGAGTACGTGCCGTACGACGGCGACGAGGTCAACTTTGTCTAGTATCAACTTGATACAATACATGTCGTTGGGATTTGGTGTACTCTGTGATCGAGTTGCGTGGATATGACGATCGCAGCCCAATCGTCGATGTCCAGCATGCAGAACCAGGTCGACAACAGCAGAAATGACCGACTGTGGTCGCTCGGGTACAAGTTGACAGCGGGTAGATGAAGATATAGCGGCCAAGAATGGCTCGAGCCTGGTGCTGCCGTCGGCTGTGTCACTCTGCATTGAAGACTCTGCACAAAGCCAGTCGCGAGGCAGCGAGGTCATGACGGGAGGCTGCTTGATGCAGGCCTTGGCGAGTCGATGCAGCGTCGAGGGGCAAGGGTATCATGGTCCATCGCGCACTAGTGCAGTTGGTAGGATCACCACTTACGCTTTCGCTTGCCGCCGACAGGATCGGCGCTGCAAATCACCAGCACGCGTACTCCACTCCTCGAGCTAGTCGACCAACAACTGATATCACGTTTCTAGTTCGATACGACTAGACTAGACGTCGCACAACGTGTCGAGCATCGTACTCGCTTCGAGGCGGACGCCGCCATGGAGCGTGTAGCCGTAGCGCAGCATGTGGCTCCAGACGCTGCCGCGATCGGCCGCGCACAGCTGCTGGACGTACGCCATCAAGTCGACGTTCGGTGCCATCGGGAGCTCGGACGTGACGCGCGCAAAGACGTCGACAAACGCCGTCGGCAGCACACGCGCACTCACCAGCGACTCGCTGTGGAGGAAGAGCACGTCTTTGCTGCCATGCTCGCCGCCCCACACAAGGCAGAGCGCACTCAGGAGCTGGCACAAGCCGTCGCTTTCGACGGCCGCTACACCGGTGCCCACCCCGATCCAGTGCAGCGTATTGTGGAGCCACCACCACTTGTCCATCGGAGCAAGGCTTGCCGCGCTCATCGCCGTGCGGTTGACGACGAGCTCGACGTCCGCGCGCGCGTGGTGGCCCGCAGCCAGCCAGAGCACGATCGCTTGGAGGTCCTTGGAGCTGCAGCCACCGGCCTCGAAAAGGTACGTCAACGCGACGCAGCCGGCCAACGCCAGCGGACCAGTCTTGGCTTCCGAGGCAGCGACGAGCGCAGTCTTGCCCTTCTTCGCATCGAGCGCCACCATGGCTTTGGCCAAGTGACGCCACACGTCGTTCGACGGGTGCAGCGCCACGAGGCTTTTGAAGAGCGAGTCCGAGACCACGGTGGCGGCGATCGCACGGGCCGGTGTCGACGCCGAGCTGCACGCCGCGAGGGCCGAGACCAGCGCAGTGCCATACTCGGCCGACTTCATCGCAGCGACGACGTGCGACAACATCGTGTCGAGCTGCGGCGGCGCAATGAGCTTGGCAAGAGTCGGAATGTCGGCCAGGTAGCGCAGCTGGACGACCACCGGAAGTGGGCGAAAGCGCGGGAGCTCGGCCAGGTCCAAGAGAAAGCTCAACAGCGACGGGTCTTGGCCGCAGTGGCCAACCGCAAAGGCCAGACCCGCGACCGAAACATCGGGGCCGAGGCGGGCGTTCCAGAATCGCAAGAGCAACGTCGCATATTGAAATGTCGGTACGTGGCACACGGAGAGCACGCAAAGGCTCGCTGCGACCCAGTGAGCATCCGAGATCGACGGGTGTTTGCACTGCCGAAGCTTGTCGAGGAGCTTGTACGTCGCTGTCGTTGTCGGCAGCTGCAAGCCCGCGTCCAGACCTAGACATTTGTGTCGCCACTTTGTCGAATAAGGCGCGAGCACAAACCGCGCGACTTGATCTGGAACGACTCGGACGCCGTCGTGAGCGCCGACAAGGCACCCAGCGCCCACGCCGCGTGCACGCGCACACGCTGCACGGGGCAGAGCGCGCAGAGCTGCTGCAGCGTCGACACGATCGCGTCGGCTTGCGTTTTGTCGACCAACAGGCCTACGTGCTTTGATGGAACCTTAAAGATTCCGTGCAATTCCTAGGTACCTTTCCAGACGGTCGGCTTGCCATCGATCGCGAGGCCCGTGCCCAAGAGGTTGGCGAGGGCCAGCGTCGCATACGACCGCGCCGACGCATCAAACTCGCGGCCGGCGTCCGAGGCAATGGCTTCGAGACGCGCGTGGAGCGCAGCGGGCACCTCGGGCGAGATGCTGTGACCGAGCGCGGTCGTGCGGCAGAGCAAGTACGGCAGCGCGACGAGGGCCTGCGGCACCGCCTTGTCGACGGCCGCTTGGCATTTGGCCACAAACATATCGACGTCGGTCCAGCCGAGGAGCTCAAACGTCACACAGTGCAACAGAACCGGGGGCAGAGCGCTCCACGCATCACCGACTCCGTGTTCGGCCAGTTGAAGCAGCAAATGGTAGAGCCCGAGAAGCCACGACGGCTCTTCGACGGCCATGCAACCCTCGCTGGCCATACTGAGCGCCACGATGGCATGGCCCACGGTCGCGTCACGCTGCACCGACACGAGTGTCAATGACGCCGGGTGCGTCATCAACGCCGTGCGCACCTTGTCCACGTCACTTGAGCTCTCGAGGGTCGTCACCAAGAGCTGCTCCAAAAGCCAGTGCCAGAGCGCGGTGATCGACGCCGATGCGCCGTGCTGCATGATGGCCGGTAGAATATGACCCAATGCAATGAGACACGATGGCGCCAACGCCGCTTCGGACACCGCGATGCCCATAAGCTTCTCGACTACTTCGTCGACGCGCGTCTCGTGCATGCTGAGCGCCCCTTGGAGTGCGACACCGAGACCGAGGATCGCGGCACTGGGACCGTCAACGTCGGCGACAATCGACGAAGACGCGTGTGCTTGCATGGCCTTGGTGAGCGCCCGCAAGAGAACTTCAACGATGCGGCCGCCAAGGACGTGGAGTTCGGACGGCAAGAGGCGCGCGAGGACACCAAGGGCGATCGCGACGTTGGGCTTGGTGCCCACGAGCGGCTCCCAGCGCGACAAAAGATGCAGCGCTGCACGGCGGAGCGACTCAATGTCGCCGTCGTCCAAGCCGCCGCGCAGCGCCTCGCTATCGCGGACAAGCGATATGTAATGGTGCAGAAACTTGTCCCAGCCATGCAAATGCGCCAACAAGAGCGGGACATCGGCCGTCGCCTTGGCTTCGTCTTCGAGCTGCGCGAGGAGGTCGGTCGCACTCGACAATAGGTTCTCCAAGTGCTTGAGATGCTTTTCCTTGCGCTTCCGAATCGCATCGTCCAAAGGGAGCGGGACGTAGCCAAACGAGGTGAGGACAGCGCCGCCGAGCGCCTGCCGCAAGCCAAGCGGGATCGTCGCCTTGTACGACTCGAGCAGGGCCGACGGCTTGGGCAGCGCGTTGGCCATGGCGCGCGTCGCTGCACCCGACGTGCGCTCGGCCACAAACCGCTTGCGCGGCTGCGTCGCTTCGTCCTTGCCCACGCGCTAGCCCAAACATCATGAAAAATCCCGTAAAAACAAAGAAAATACACTAAAAGTACCTGCAGGAGCGTCGTGATCATGGTCCGCGTCGCGTCGCTCGTCTCAGTCTCCAAGGCCGTCAACACGGTTTGCAGCTGCGCTTCGACCGCTTGCTCGTCGGCTTGGTCATCGCCAATCGTGTCGCTGCGCGCCTTGAGCCCGACGAGGTGCAGCGGGTACGCATTCAGAGCCGTGTACGCGGCGAGGCGGACGTCGGCGTCGTCGTGGGCCGTCGCGTCCCAGAGCATCCCCAGAAAACTCGGCGTGTCACTGAGGATCGAACCTCCGACCGCATACAAGTGGCACAGCTCAACTTGAACGAGCACGTGGTCCTTGCAGACAATCTGTCCACAATGGTATGAGACCGCTGCGACACGCCATCGCGACGACGACCATGTACCTTTTTCTTCTTGAGCTTGGACGCAATGATCTTGCAGGCTGTGCTAAAGTCGAGGCAGTCGGCGACGCACAGCGACCGGACGCATCCGAGGGCAACCGCCGCAAGCGACGGCAAGGACGACTCCAACCGCGCTTGCACGGTCGTGATAAAGTTGAGGCCGAGGTCGCCACGGACGCCGCAGAGCTGGTAGATGGTGTAGAGCTGCACGAGCGGCCACTCGGCGTCCGACTCTTCGTGGTGCTCACTCAAGAGCTGCTCCAGTCTATGCCACAAAGCGGGTTCAAACATCGTGGAGCGATCAAGCGCACATACCGCGAGTACACGCGCGACTCGAGCGTCCAAATCTGGTAGAGCACGCGCAGGGCCGTCGACGGGTGCGTGGCGCTGAGCGCCTTGACGGTCCGCAGCAGCGTCTTCATGCACTCGGCGTCCCGGGCCGTGCTCACGAGCGCCGTCAAAATGGCTTGCGTGTCGCTGCCAGTGGTCGCGCGCGAGAGGACGTATACGAGACTGGGTACGAGGATCCGCCCAGCAAGCGGCCATGTTGCCACACAGGCGCGAGCGAGCGCAAGCGCGGGAAGGACCATCGTCGATCGCGACTCGAACAAGAAGGTCGCGGCCGCCAGGACCACTGTCACGTCGTACGCTCGATCCGACGACGAACCAAGCGCGTTGGCCGTCTGCGCCAACCAGCCGTCGAGCGTCGATGACGTGGCAAGCTCCGTGAGCAGCGAGGCCACAGCGTACTGCGGGTGCAGGCTCGCCTCCTCACACGCGGACGCGCGAGGCGCCCACGGAAGCAACTGGACGTTTTGGAGAAGCGCCAAGACCGTTGACGCTTCGGGCTGACGCGCCGACGTCATGAGCGCTAGCACGGGCGCAAAGAGGCTTTCGATGACCACGGACCGCGTCGGCATGGACGAGAGAGCGGTGAGCCAGACGCGGAGAAGCCGCAAGACGGCCGATTGCTCCACTGGGCTTTCGACAGATGCGAGGAAGAAGGCCAGCAGCACAAAGACTTGACCGTCCAAGGCAGCGACAACGCTAAAGTCCGAGGCAGCGACAAGCGACTCGAGAAGCAAGAGCATGCCAAGGCCACCGCGGGTCGATGCTACAAGCGGCACATATGAGAGGCGACAACGTCGCATGCACACCTACCGGACGTGACGTGCGGCAGTAGACTCACGAGAAGCGCAATGAGGCTTTGCGTCGGCGCCGGGTCGTTCAATGACGGCGCGACGTCAGCTAGCCCACGGAGTAGGGCAAGGGCGACCGCGCAGTTCTCGGTCGAGTCGAGCGGCAAGAGGCGCACGGCGCGGACGCCAGTGTGCACGAGCATCGACGCAGCGTCCATCGCACCGCTCTCGAGCGCACGCCAGCTCAGACGCACCCACGCGGCCGTGATGGCTTGCTTGACGATGAGCGCTACGCAAGCACAGGCCATGAGAACCGAGATCCAGCGACTGCTGATGAGCATACCTGTGGGGCCAGCGAGCGCACGCTCAACGAGGGACTGAAAGCACATGACGAAGAGCGTTGGCTCCACGCTCGTAAACGCGTCTTCCATGTAGGCGGCGAGGCCGAGAAGCACCATGGGATGGCCTTGCGTCGTGCGGGCGAGCGATTTGTGGGCGGCCGCCCGGTCGGTCACCGCGAGCGCGAGACCGCCCAGCGTGTAGCCAATGTACTCGGCCTTCTCTTCCGACAAGTCGGGGATCGCCGCGATGCGGCTCACGTTCTGCAGCAAGAGCAGCCGGGAAAAGGTCGTCGGCGACTCGGCCATCGCATCCAAGCCTACCTGCGCTGTCACGTCGTCCATGGACATGGGAGCGCCTACCGAGGAGGAGATGCTGGCAGAGCGGAAGCGACTCGGTCTTGGTCACCAGGTCGAGGACGCGCAGGAGCGCGCGCTCGCCCGACGCGTCCTTGCGCGCGTCCGTCAGCACTTGCTTGGCTTCCTTCTCCATCGCAAATGCGTGCTTGCATCGGCATGTGCCACGCCCAAGGTGTTTATTGGCGGCATTGATGCCACCTTCCTTATCCGGATGCCGAAACAGAGCTCGTTCATGCCGAATCCGCCCTCGTCGATGCCGAATCCGCCGCCAGTGCGATTTCAGTGGCAATGGAGCTCGTGATCGGATGTGTCGGCAAGCCCTCGGCGGGCAAGTCGACGTTCTTCAACGCGGTCACGGACGGGAAGGCCAAGGTCGGCAACTTCCCCTTCACGACCATCGAGCCCAACGAAGGCATTACGTACTACATGACCGAGTGCCCGTGCAAAGCCCGCGGCAAGACCGCCGTGTGTGCGCCCAAGTATGGCCAGTGCGTTGACGGCACGCGCCACATTCCCGTCAAGCTCCTCGACGTGGCCGGGCTCATTCCAGGTGCGTCCGAAGGCGCGGGCCTCGGCAACAAGTTCCTTGACGACCTTCGGCACGCCGATGTCCTCATGCACATTGTGGACGTGAGTGGCACGACCAACGAGAAGGGCGAGACGACGATCGGGTACAACCCGCTCAACGACGCCGACTGGCTCACATCCGAGATCCACAACTGGATCTACAACAACCTCTGGAAGCGCTGGCCATCGATCGCGCGGCGCCATAACGCGACGCAGGCCGCACTCCGGACGACCTTCCAGCAGCAACTCTCGGGCTACGGCGCGTCATCGTCGACGGTCGTCGCCGTCCTCAACGCGCTCGGCGAGATGGCGAAGGAGCCATGCAATCTCACGGCGTGGGGCGAACCCCAAGTGCACGCACTTGTCGACGCGTTCTTAGCGATTCGGTTCCCGACGATCCTCGTGCTCAATAAGGCCGATGTCGGCGCCGAGACGGACAAAAACATTGCCAACGTCGCTGAAAAGTACGGTAGCGACAAGTGCTTTGTCGCGAGCGCGGCCTCCGAGTGCTTTCTCCGGAACCTCCACGCCAAGGGCTTCATCAAGTACGATGTGGGCGACATGTTCTTCACAACCCACGAAGACGATGCGACCTTGAAAGTACCTGAGCCCAAGATGGCCAAGCGGCTCGAGCATGTACTGGACATGGTGCTCTTCCGCCACGGCAGCACCGGTGTCCGCGGTGCGATCAACGCCGCCGTCGACTTGGCCAACATGGTTGTCGTGTACCCGGTCAAGTCGCTCAAGAACTTTACAACGACCGAAGGCGATGTCTTTGGCCACGCAGTGCTCGTCAAGAAGGGCGCCACCGTGCGCGAGATTGCCCACGTCGTGTCGGCGACGGTCGCTGCCAACTTTGCGTACGCCGAAGGCGAAGACGGGCGGCGCCTCCCCGAAGACGAACCGATCACAACGCCGACGCTCATCATCAAGTTTACAACGCATGCCTCAAAAGAAGCCTCGGGGGCGCCGCCACCGCCGGCGGACGAGAAGAAGCCCAGGAAAGAGAAGGCCAAGGGCGCGGCGGCCGACACCGCGGCCGAGACGTCGTTAGTATAAACCCTGGCAACACGGTTTTGCCGGTGTTTTGTGTTCTTGTTGCTCTTGCAGCCATTTGTGCGACTGACGTAAAGGGCAGTTAAGACACGTCATCTTGCACCTCCTTCTTTCGCATTTTCTGTGGCCTAGCGCCGCTGTCGGGGTCGACATGGTCTTGGCGCATGGCGACTTGCAGCCGGAGCGCAGTACGATTTTATTTGTGGCGTTTACCACAAATACACCTTTGTGCCAGAAATAAGATCGCCGAGCTGGACGCCGCGGCCACTTGATCGACAAAATCACGTTTGGAATGGAATCGCTCATAGTTGGCACAGTGATAGAAGACACGTTGCAGGGCAGAGCAGAAGGTGCTGTCACATCGTTGCAGGCCCACAACGCGTGCCATATTGAATCAAAGATAGATAGCATTGCTCTTTAAATCGTTAAAAAGCAAATTGCTGCATTGGCCCACCGATGTCGACTACGCTTGTAGCGACGATTCCCGCTTCCACGCAATCAAGTGGATCGCGAAAAGCCGACCAAGGTGAAGCCAGAGCGCCATTTTGATCGAATGCTATATGCGTGATTCCCGATGGTGCACGGCCACCTTCGCCACTGCTGATTCGGAACTGTTCATACGGGACTGTCTAGGCGTCGTGCTCTAGCTCACAAGAGCGACGAGGCGCGAGCTCTTTTGTAGTACAACGCTCTATCCAGCATGCCATCGACGCACCTTCCAGCCCTCCAGCCATGCCTTGAAGTTGTTTTTGGTGGACGCCAAATTGCAAGAAATAGTGTACATACGCCACAACCCCTCGTAGGCCTTCGCACGATGGCGCCCACTACAGACACCGATAGTGTATGGACGCCCATGGTGGACGCTTGGACACAAAGTACACGCGACTACATAGCATCGACGACGCCGTCGCGACCGTAGCGCCGACACGAGCGCTTGCGCCTTGCCGGCTGTTCTGTGGGCGTTTCACATGAAATGGTGTATGAACCTCCGGGTTTGCTCCGGGTTTGGCCGGCGGCTTCGATTGGCCGTCAGCTTCTGTTGGTCCAAGCCCATTCGATCAGATCTTGAAGCGATGGATGCCACGCAGATGCTCGAAGTGAATTGCGGCTGGTCGAGCCGCGGGGCGTCGACCGTCGTGGGCGCGACCTACCTCCATGGCACCAGCGGCCAGCTCCTCGTGACGGCCTCGGACCAGGTCGTGCGCTGCAACACGGCCATGTACGCGTCCGGCGTCGCGCTCCAGCTGCAGAGCTGGGACTTCCGCCCCGACAGCGCGCAGGCCATCACGGTCCCGGCCGTCAAGCACGGCAAGAAGTACATCTACTATGCAGTGCGCGGCAAGGCCAAGACCGAGCTCATCTCGTGGGCGGCCGAAACCACCAAGCTCGACGCGAGCCTGCCGTCGGTCGGTCTCCCGTTCCCGGTGCACCAGCTCTTTACGCACCCGCGCCTCGACGGCGTCATCCTTGTGACCGTTGGGGGCAGCATCCACCTCTACAACGGCGCGCTCTCGACGCTCGTGGCTGCGCCGGCCAAAGCGAAAGGCAAGGCCAAAAAGCTCACGACGGTCTTTGCGTCGGTTGACGCCGACGCCGCCGGGCAGCTCTACATGGCGCTTCTGACCAAGGCCGAGACGTACAACGTGTGCATCTACACGCTCGACACGACGACCAACAAGGCGGTGTTGCACCGCAAGGACACGCTTTCGTCGACCGACGACTTGACGTCCGGTGCGTTCCACGCCAAGGATGCGTCGCTCTCGCTCTTGTGGGCGTCCGGTCTCTGGCAAAGCGTGTCGGCCGACGGCGTCAAGGACCTCACGTCGCTCGCTGTCACCGACGGCAAGAAGCGCCGCAAGGTCAGCGCGGTCGCCTACCAAACCTGCGAGGCCGCGCCGCACACGGTCGCGATCGCGTCCACGTCGGACGTGCGTCTCTGGGACAGCAAGTACGGCGTCTGCCTCTCGACGCACCCGCTCGCGGCCAACTCGCACGGCAACCTCCTCCGTGTGTTTGCCTTTCCGGTGCACAGCCTCGCGCTCGTGTACGAAAAGGCGGTTCTCTTCACGGCGTTCCACGCCCGTCCGTCGACGCTGGCGACGGTGCTCGGCAAGGGCGCGGCGCCCATGACGACCAGCACGGTGCTCATCTCGACCAAGGTCGACAACAAGGACGTGCCCTCGGTTGTGCCGGCGCTCGAAGTCGAAACGTGGCCGGCGCAGATGCTCGTCGGCAACGACGCGCAAAAGGAGGTCCTCGAGCAGCTCACGAACGAGTCGGTGACGCCGACGCGCGACGCGTTCGCTGCTGTCTTTGACAAGTACGTCTTCAAGCACGGCAAGAGCAACAAGGTTCGGGGCGTGCTCTCGCCGCTCTTTGTGACGCAAGTCGCGGCTCGCTGCATTGCCTCGGCGTCGCTGGGTCTCTGGCGCGAGCTCCGCGTGCTCATTCGGTCGCGCCACCTCTGCAGCCGGTCGCTGCCGGCGCTCATCCCGACCTTGCTCGCGCACAAGCAGTGGGGGCTTCTGGACACGAGTCTGCGCTGCCTCGCCGACATTGACGAAGCCACCAGCATCCGCATCGTCAAGTTTGTGCTGCGTCACGCGACGACCGCGAGCGTCGAGCGCTACGAGAAGCTCACCAAGGACGCTAGCGTCAAGACGCCGGCGCAGCTCGTCGATCACTTTGTCCACCTTGTGGTCATCTTGCCCAAGACGGATGTCTTCTTGCAGAATGCCATGGCGACGCTGACGCTGCCAGATGTGCTCGCACTCCTCGCGTTGCTCAAGAAGTGGTACGTGCGCAAGGACGCGGACTTGACGGCGGTCATCGAGTGGATGAGCTTGCTCGTCGACGTGCATTTCACGCGCCTCGTGCTCGAGAGCGACACGCACCAGGATGCGATCAACCGTGTGGTCGGCGAGACGCAGGCGCTCGTGGCCCAGCACCTCGACACGTGCACGTTCATGGCCGACGTCCACGGCGAGCTCGACCAGCTGCTCTCGGGCGCGCGCCTTCCCCAGACGGGCACGGTCCCCGACTACTCGGTCGAGACGGTCGTGCTGTAGATAGTAACTTAAAAAATGATACACAACATACACTTTCTCTGTACGACCTGCGCTCTTCACGCTACGACCGGCTGCTGTCTTTCGACGGAATGCGACTTGGCCATAGCGCACCAACTTTGCACAGAGTATTGTGTCATGGAGGCTGAAAGCAAGGCTATATGAGAGATATTACATCTCTTCTATACCCTTCCTGAACGCTTGCACCGGTATGTATCAGCAGGTCCGTTCACCAGGATGACGGACGCATATTCTCACACTCGAGGTGTAGCTATAGAGTTGCTGCCTTACGCCCATGCTTTGTCCACCCGCGTTGTCGGCTACAAGGCGACTCTACAGACTCGACGGACTATGTTGTTAAGACTAGTACTTTGATTGCCAAACGTCTCCCCGAGTCGACTCACAGGACGACGCATTGACCCTTGCTCCAAGGTAACTCTCCTATATTCGTTCAAAGTGCGTCAATTCAAGCATCCATACGAGCTTCGCCCTTGCAGTCACGAGCGTTCATCGATCGGTGGCCAAGTGCCCGGTTGTCGACAGTGGTCATGACCTCGAAACCCACAGATTGGTGGTGGAAAGGTCCGTACACTCCCACGCAGGTTCTCGGATGCTTCTTGTCGCATGATTGGTGTGCGAGTGGTGCTTTGAATGGCTTGAAGCGAGATTCGAATCGCCAGTCCATGTCGTACATGTGTGGTGGCACGACGCCGGAATCTTCCTGCCCGTTGTCAAGCTCAACGTGTGGTCGCAATGTGTTTATTCGGCGTGATCGTCTGATTCCCGGGCAACGTTTTCGACGGCCTATCGATGATACCATTAGTGCTCCTAGGCACTCTAACCGCACTTTACGGTACCCGTTGAGGACCGCCGCTTTCATGCTGGCGGTGATCGTACGACCGAGCGTTGCTGTCGAATAGCACACAGCGTCCGAGCTTGCCGTAGCCCAAGCGATCACGCGACAGACGAACCGGCATCTGTGTTGCATGTTGCTTCAATGCACAAGGCCGCATCTGATACCGGAGCACACCCACGAGCAATCGCGTAGTACCACACAGTATCAGGTGCAGCGTTGGTACTGTACTGTACTGTTACTACTCGAGTGTCCTTGGTGTGGATACCGTCGTTAGGTGTTGCCAAAGCATCCAGCAGTCGTGGATCGAGACCTCTGATTCGCTTCGGTATCGGATAACTGGGCCGTTCGATTCAGGTTTCTGGGATATTTGATGCGGAGGCACTTGGTTGACGCATCGATATCAGATCATATTGCTGATCAAGGTATTATACCTACCAGCATTTAGGAAGCACACATCTGTTGCCAAAATGCACTTTGGGTAAACAGATGCCGAATCTCATGACCCAAATCAGACGTTGAGATTCAAAGCGGTGCGCTGGCGCGGTGCGAGCGTTGGTGGCATAGGTCCTTTCACTTTTCAATTCGCCATGGTCTTTCCATCCTCGCTTCGCACGCTTCTTCTCTCGGCATTGGCGGTTCCGTCGGTCGTCGCCGCGCCGTCGGTCAGCCAAGTGCATCTCGGCATCTCGGGCGACTGCGTCGACGGCATCTCGCTCTCGTTTGCGAGCTCCGAGTCCAAGCCCCTCACCGTCAAATTCGGTGACCAGAGTGTCAAGACCGTCGCGAGCACGTACAGCGTCGGAAGCTACACGTCGCCGTACTTGCACAAGACCAGCTTTTGCAACTTGGCGTCTGGCAAGGCGTACACGTACTCGGTCGG